AAAGAAAGAAATAAAATATAAATTTTTAAAAAGATGAGTTGGGAAGCAATGTAAAACACCTAAACAAGGCCATTTTATTTGAGTATGTCAAATGTCAGGATGTGCATTTTTAAAGACTGCTTCAAGTCTTTTTAAAAGATTTAAACTGTCTGTCCCTGCCTCAGGCAGTATATGCCCCTGCTTTAAGCAGAATGTAATACCCTATCTTCAGTTATTCCTTTAGGCTATAGTCATGGTTCCTAGCCTTGTTAAGGGTACCAGAGGCTTTATGCTTTATGGATTTAAGAGTGTGATGGTTAGGGCTGGAGACATAGCTCAACCCTTAAAAGTCAGGGCCGCTTAGTAACCAAAATGTCAAGAGTGTGATGTTTAGTTTTAATTGTCAACTTGACATATCCTAAAATCATCTGGGAAAGTCTCAGTGAGGGATTGTCTATATTGAGTTGGCCTGTGGGCATGTTTGTGGGGATAGTCTTAAATTAATTGATATAGGAAGACCCAGCCCACTGTGGATTGCTGCAGCATTTCCTTGGCAAGAGTCCTGAACTCTGTGAGAGGGGAGAAACAGAGCTAAGAACAAACAATGCATACAAGTGAGCATGCATGCATTCAGTTCCTTCTGCTCCTGACTATGGATGTGATGTGACTTACTGCTTGAAATTCCTGCCTTGACTTCCCCACAATGATGAACTATAACCTGGAATTGTAAGCTGAAATAAACCCCTTTTACCCCCATATTGCCTTTGTTGTTATTGCTTATTTCTTTGTATTTGTTTGTTTGTTTTGAGACAAAGTTTCACTAGGTAGCCCTGGCTGGCCTAAGTGCTGGGATTAAAGGTATGGGCCACCACTCCTGGTTGAAGTTGCTTTTTGTCATGGTATTTTAATCTCAGCAACTAGAACAAAGTGCCAACTAACAACAAAGAAAGAACCAACTCAGAGCAAACTGCTCAAAGGAAATGGCAGCAGCAGGCAGAGAAGGTTGGTGGGTGGCCAGGGACTAATATGCCAGTCACAGCAACTGGAAGAGGAGAGAAAAAGCAGACATAAATACATTTAAAATGGGCTGAACTTTCTAGAAGAATAAAAAGCACCACAAACTACAAGCACTTAAGTCTCCAGGCAAAAGGTACCTGTCATTGCCAGGGAATGATGGAACTTAAGAAAATACAAACCCAAACCATGAAGGGTGTCACACATGCCACAAGGGTGGGCAACATCAAACAGCCCTGGATACTCGTTCTGATGCCATTGTTTTTGTGCTGCAGGGATGGTGAGCTGGGACAATGGAACATGGGAATCATTACCAGCTCCTGATTTGCAAAGCTGAAGTCAACTTGGAACAAAACAGAAGTCACCCTGACAACAACTACTACAAAAAGAGCTGGATGTGAGACAGATGCTCCCAGCAGGACTCCTGACAGAAAAACAGACAGTGAGGTCAAATACCCTCATGATAAGGCATGCTTAAGCTGCATGTCCTTGCATCACATACACATCAACTAATGCGACTACAGACCAGGAGAGTGGGCCTCACTCCAAGGGTCAGGAACCCTGGGCCTCACTCAGCAACCACCAGCTAGCAGCTGGGTATTTAGGGACAAGGAACCACAGGGCTCATGAGCAGCTGCCAGGTTGGGCATGGGAAGTGGGAGAAGGAGGAATGTTTGGCAACTGTTGGGTAAGACATGCTTACAGCCAGATGTAGGGGCAAAAGAAACACAGCAATGCTAATCCCTGTGTTGGTCAGAGACAGACAAGTCTGATTCTATCCTCCAGGGACACAACCTACTGAGAGGCTAGACTTTCAGCAAAGAACAGCCTAGCAAGGGTCAAAGCAGAGACACCCAAGGTCCAATTTGGATGTCAACTCCAGGAAGCTTTATGCTGCTTATCTGTGACACAAACAAGGCAGCTTCTGTATATACTGTACAAGTTACAAGTTTCACACCAAAAGGAACTCTAAGATGTCCCCGAAGAACTGGTGGTAAGGATAAGGTGTGTGACTGCAGATATGGTACATGGTGCAAAATGGCACAGCACTGGGATAAAGCAGGTGTTCAGTAAGATGGACCTTTCCAGGTAGAAGGGCCTTGCCCCAAATGAGTGGACTATAGAGGGTCTGCATATATGGTGTCTTTCAAGGAGAAGCTGTGCTTCTTAGAGAAGTGGCCAATTCCAGCTTAAGTAGAGAACACTGAGGAAGCAGTGAGATCAGAAAGCGGAGGCCCAAGCCTGGGAGATGGTTCAGCAAGTAGGAATGTTTGCTGAGAAAGCATGCAAATCAAGTCAGGTGTGGCCATACCTGTACCTCAAACCTCAGTGCTGTGGAGGACAGAGACAGGAAGATCACTGGGGCTTGTTGGCCACCAGCTTAGCTTCATATTCACTGAGTGATCTTGTGTGTATTAGTTATTTTTCTATTGCTGTGGTAAAATATCATGACTGAAAGCAACTTAAGGACAAAAGGTTTTATTTTGGCTTATGGTTCCAGAGGGTTACAGACAATCCATCATGGCAGGGAAGGATGGCATGGTGGCAGGAGCAGGAAGCTTGCTAAGCACATTTTCTTTCCTTTTTTTTTTTTTTTAAATCATTTTGCCAGGCATGGTGGTGCACGCCTTTGGGAGGCAGAGGCAGGAGGATCTCCATGAGTTCAAGGCCAGCCTGGTCTACATAGTGAGTTCCAGGCCAGCTGGAGCTACAGGGAGACCCTGTCTCAAAAAGAGGCCCCTGAAAGAAAACACCCCCCTGAAAAAAAAACATTTTTACAGGGCTGGTGAGATGGCTCAGCGGTTAAGAGCACTGACTGCTCTTGCAGAAGACTGGGTTCGATTTCTAGCACCCACATCCTTAACTCCAGTTCCAGGAGAATCCGAACTGATCTCCAAGGCATTGCATGACACGGGTGCACTCACATACATGCAGGCAATACACTCATACACATAAAATAAAAATAATAAAACTGGGGCTGGAGAGATGGCTCAGGGGTTAAGAACACTGACTGATCTTTCAGAAGACCCAGGTTCAAATCCCAGCACCTACATGGCAGCTAACAACTGTCTGTAACTCCAGTTCCAGAGAATCTGACAGTCTCTTCTGTTCTCTGTGGGCATTGCATGACATGGATGCACTTACCTACATGCAGGCAATACACGCATAACACATAAAATAAAAATAATAAAATATTAAAAAATATATAATAATAAATTTTAAAAAATCATTTTTACTTTGTGTGTGTGAGCGTATTGCCTGCATGTATGTAGTGTACCCATGTTGTACAATGCCCATGGAGGTGAGAACGGGGTGTTGAATCCCCAGGAACTGGAGTCATGGATGGTTATTAGCTACCATGTGGGTGCTGGGAACTGCCTCTGATCACATTTTCATCCACAAACAGGAAGCAAAGAGAACAGGAAGTGGGGTGACTCTATAAAACCTCAAAATAAACCCTCAGTGAAATACTTCCTCTAGCAAGGCTCCACTTCCTAAAGTCTCCATAACCCCTCCCCAAACAGCATCATCAATGGGGAACCAAGTGTTTAAATACATGAGCCTAAGGGGATAGTTTCTCATTCAAACCATCACGCTGTTGAGGGAATAAGGCAGAGAGTGTTAGAAAAGGGAACTTTATGTTCACCTCTGGCCTCCACATGCACTTGTGGGCATACTGCACCCTTATGTGCACATATACCACAACGCACACACACACACACACACACACACACACACACACACGCACGCACGCACGCACGCACGCGCACCCACCCACCCATGTACACAGGGTCCAGACCCCAAAGGAGGGTTATGCCTCGGACATAGGAGCATGAGGCCAAAACCAGGACCTGGTGGGCCTAAGTCACAGTAGATGAGTTAAGAGTGATGTCACTGGTAGTAGAGAACTAACATGTGTGCAGAAATGCAGGCAACATGTGGTGTGGGGCTGCCTCACTTCTTCCAGGAGGGGTCATGTAGCTCCTGCCTCTGACACATGTGCTCCTTCCAAAGGACATAATATTGAAAGGCAAGAGAATCTTCATAGTGAGACACCTGACAGACTCAGCAAGGGATCAAGGTCAACATCCATAGCGACAGGTCATGTTGGTGGTTTCTACACTTGACATGATGGCATCACCCTCCTAAAACATATTTGACTCCAACTAACCATGAGAAAAATACCCAAGCCAAATTGAGGGACAAATTGACACAATGTCTGGCTAGTCCTTCTTAAAGCTGTCACAGCTCAGCAGATCCAAGGGAAAACAGTGAATATATGTCATGAGGGCTCTTGAGACACAAAGGAATAACAAGTTAGGTCGCATTCAAGTGAACACAATGGCAGAGAGGAAACAGACT